GTATTAGAGAGATTCCCCATTAACTCGATATTGTTTGACATAATTATTTAAAAGTTTTAGCATAGCTGACCCATTTGTCATTTTAGATTTCAGAAAGGTGCTCGCAAGTGCCCACTTTGCTGCCGATATGCGCCCTGGATGCACACTTTTGCCAAGTCCGAAATGAAGCAAGCTCTGCAGCAGACTTCTACCTAACATTCAAAGCAGAATTAAGTCACGAAACTGTGGACTTGGAGGAAGATTGTGAGAGCTTAGGGTTCCATTTGGGACAGGGCCCTAGAAGCAACGTAATATTGTGTAAAAAACAAGTTGCCACAATCACATTTTTGAAAGCTTATAAAATAGTATCTACATAAATAAATAAATAAACGATTTAATAATCATCTTTTGTGATAAAATGTTACTAAAAGGTCAAGTTGATTCGCTTGTGTACTAATGAATAAGGCCCTACACACTCTTAAAAATAAAGGTTCCACATATCTATACTATTAGATATAATACTAGGCTTTTATGGGCTCCCCAAAGGAAAAATTCCATTAATTTTTCAAAGACTCTTTATGGAACCATAGATGCCAATAATGAACATTTAAATATTTATCTACCTGTAAATTTATATATCTCTAACCTTAATACTAATGGCCCTATCATAAACCTGGCGCAATGCAGCGCCAGGCACTACGCAAGTGTTTTTTGCTAGTTTCAGCCCAACGCAGTTATCATTTTTCACGTCCTGCGCCAGGTTGTTTAAATAGAAAATGCATTTGTTCCCATCTGTGCGCCCATGGGCGTGCTGGTCTGAAAACGAGGTGTGTTCAAGCGCATTGTTAGCGCATTGCTATTTTGAGGCAACTGAAATAGACAACTGAAATTTTCATTGATCAACTGAAACCTGGTCTAAAGTAATAATAATAATAATAATAATAATTTGTTACATTTATATAGCGCTTTTTCTGGGACCTCAAAGCGCTTCACATATGGAAGGGGGAATCTCCTCAACCACCACCAATGTGCAGCATCCACCTGGATGATGCGACGGCAGCCATATTGCGCCAGACCGCCCACCAAACACCAGCTTACTGGTGGAGAGGAGACAGAGTGATGAAGCCAATTAGTATATAGAAGTCACTGGCTCAATTTTCTTTTCTATTTTTAAGAGCATGTTAGTAATTTGCACCTATAGGCGGGGCCAACACCTGTGTACACTCTGCTTATTACACACACAGGGGTAGCAGCACACAAACATGCCAATTTTTAAAAATAAAAGGATTACAATGTGAAAGATTATAATTGTATACACGAGCAGATCCGTTTGCGCTCTGGAGACGCGCTCAATCTTTCTACTATCAAATTCCGCAATGTAAATAGCAATCCGCCATGGCATGAGCGCAACTCGCTTTCAAAGGGAATGGGAGATGAAACTTGGCACAACCCTTTTAGACCATGCGCCACCCATTTTTCCCGTCGTTAAACTAGCAAAAGTGGATTGGACTTGCCCTAAGTTGCACTTGTGTCGTGTGCTTTGGACCATGCGCTTAGATCATTAAAATTTGGCCCTAAGGCTTTATTTTTTTTTATTTTTTTTTATTTAACCTTTCTTTAACCAGGAAAGTCCCATTGAGGTTAAAAACCTCTTTTTCAAGGGAGTCCTGGCCAAGAGGCAGCAAAAACACAATCAATTACATTTATAAAGGTTTATACAACACAAATAATTAAAAACATTTACAATTTAAACAGGTCATTTCAGGTTCTCTCAATCTGGACTTAAAAGCATTTAAGGAAATAAGTTCAGATAATTTCAAGTCTTTTTGCAAAAAATTCCATGCAGAAGGAGCGGAGTAAACAAAAGCCCTTTTTCCCAGTTCTGTACGGGCAAATGGAACAGAGAGCAGCAAGTGATCATTTGATCGCAATGAATAAGAACCAGCACTTCTCCATGTGATTAAACTACTAATGTAGGATGGCAACAGACCAAGCATGGCCTTATAGATAAAAATATGCCAATGCCCTGATCTCCTGTTGGACAGCGATGGCCATCCCACTCTGGAATATAATTCACAATGATGGGTCAAATTTTTACAATTCGTAATAAATCTCAGAGACGCATGATAAACAGTGTCAATCTTATGCAGACATTGTACTGAAGCAGTCCTATATACCAGGTCACTATAATCTATGACAGATAAAAATGTTGCAGAGATTAGCTGCTTTTTTGCTTTAAAAGAAAAACAAAATTTATTTCGAAAGAAAAAAGACAGCTTAAGTTTGAGTTTCTTCACAAGGTTATCTATATGAGGTTTAAAAGTGAGAGCATCATCAAGCCAAATGCCAAGGTATTTATAAGAATGAACCATCTCTATGACACTTCCAGTCAAAGTGAACACAGAAGGAGGAACTTGAGAAACCTTCTTAGTATTACTAAACAGCATCAGTTTGGTCTTATCAGCATTGAGAACCAGTTTAAGCTGCATAAGCGTGTGTTGAACCACATCAAAAGCTTTCTGCAAAGACGCAACCGCTTTAGTAGGGGACGATCCAAAACAATAAATAATCGTGTCATCAGCATAGAAATGCATATTAGCATCCAACACATTGTGGCCCAGTTCATTAATATACATAATAAACAAGAGAGGACCCAATATTGAGCCTTGTGGAACATAGACCATCACATTTAATACACTGAGTCCTGTCACTCAGATAATTCATGAACCAGGAAACTGCACAATCAGACAATCCCAGACAAAGTAGCCTATGCTTTAAAACAGCATGGTCCACTGTGTCAAAAGCTTTCGACAGATCAAGAAAAAGTGATGCACAGAATTGCTTTCTATCAAGGGCGACAAGTATGTCATTAATTACTTTTGTAACAGCAGTGATGGTACTGTGCTTTTTCCTGAAGCCTGATTGTAGTTTAGAAAGAAGTTCATTTGAGTATAAAAACTCTTTTATTTGGTCTGAAACAAGGGATTCTAAAATTTTTGACAAAACACATAGATTAGATATAGGCCGATAATTAGTTAAAACTGCTGGATCACCTCCTTTAAACAAAGGAATAACATAAGCTGACTTCCAAACTGATGGTATGTCATTGTTTTGAATTGACAAATTAAAAAGAATTGTAAGGGGCTCAGCAACAAAATCAGCCGCCTTTTTCAAAAAATAAGGCTCTATTAAATCTGGTCCAGGAGGTTTTCTGTGATCTAACGCTTTAAGAGCTCCATGCACCTGCTGCACAGTAAAAGAAACAAAATTAAAAGGCTCTCCAGAAAACACTGGGGTGTATGTGCATGGAGTGACAGCGATTACTCCTGTTGACTCGGACAGAGAACCAACTGATACAAAATGCTCATTAAAGCAATTTAAAACATCAACTCTGTCGTAGACTGGGAGAGAGTTTTTTAAGACAAATTTTGGGAGGGCTTCATTATTTTTATTCACAGACAGAGACTTGATAACTTTCCAAAATTTCTGTGGATTATTGAGATTTTCACTTGTGACTGATAAATAATATTCTGATTTAGCCTTTTTAATAAGAGAGGTACATTTATTTCTTAGTTGTCTGAAAATGGACCAGTCAGTGGCAGAATCACCATTTCTAGCTTTAGCCCAAGCCACATTTCGCTGATGGATAATGTCTGACAACTCCGGAGAAAACCAAGGGTTTTCCCGTCCCTTCACTCTGTGCTTTGTCCAAGGAGCATGTTTATTTACAATTTTCTCAAAATTTTCCTTAAAAAGTGTCCAGGCAAGTTCAACATCAGGCAACAGGCCTAGCTGTCCCCAGTTAATCAAAGATAAATCATGATGATAGGCTTGTTCATTAAAATTTTTCAAATTCCTCTTTCTAATAATTTGTGATTTACATTTGGGTATTTTACCGCCTCTCAAAGTAGCAATAACACAATGATCACTCAGATCATTACAAAAGACACCCATAGATAAAAATTTATGAGGGACATTTGTTAGAATCAAGTCAATTAAAGTAGATTTGTCAGGATTTTTGAGATTAGGCCTTGTAGGTACATTTACCAACTGGCTAAGACTGATAGAATCACAGAAAGATTTAAAATCATCAGAAACAACATTTAGCCAGTCCCAATTTAAGTCCCCGGCCAATAAAAGTTCACTATAGTTTAATCTGGACAAAAGAAGCTTTAAAGATGATAAAGCCTCCCTGGAGGCCGATGGAGGTCTATAACACCCCACAACAGTTATTGAAAGGGACTTAAATATTTCAACATTCAAGGCCAAAAACTCCATTTGCCCACAGAGAGACTCAGACAAAACAACTGATGCACCAAATTTTGACTTAACATAGATAGCTACACCACCACCTTTCTTCGGCCTGTCACTGCGAAAAACATTATACCCATGTACTTTTATATCTTCATTAGTAATTGATTTCTTCAACCATGTTTCCGAAATTATCGCTATGTCTGCATCTGTAGATTCAATCCAAATTCTAACCATGTCCATTTTGGGTAGTAAACTGCGAACATTTAGATGAACAAATTTAAGTCCAGGCATTGATTTAAAATCAGCATTTATTTAAGGCTCACATCAGTCTTCTTAAACAGCCTTCATAAATCAAAAACTGGCCTGCAGGTGCTACACATTTAACACCTATGCAACTTTATATATCTAACATTTTTCAAATGAAAGATGGGCTGGTATTTCAGGTCAAATTAAATAATCTGTGACGATCCTTGAATTGGTAAACACTTATATAAACTTTATTGAATAAACACAAATATAGAGTTATTCTGAAGGTAGAATGAGACTATACAATCCTTGACTATAATTAAATTATTGTGGTGGAGAATCTCTCTAAATAAACCATTAAATGACACAGGTTCACATTAGCATGTGTCTGAAAATTAATTTGAAATTATACAGTAATTTCCAGTAATTTAAGTAAACAAAAAACAACAACCACAGTAATTGTGCCAAATAATGCTATTCAAAAAAGAAAATTTGCAGTAAATTAACTTAGTACAAATATATTAACCAAATGTTTTATGGAAAAGGCAGGAGAGTTTTCCAGTGCGGTGCAGATAAAGAACAGGCTGAACAAAACCTGCCAGAATAAAACATAACAAACCAAAAGAAAAAAGGCCCACAATAAACAGTTGTGTCAGAACAAAAGAGAATCCTGCGAAAATCAATGGAATATATGTAGTGGACATGGTCACAGTAGTTATTAGAATGACATGAAACGCTCTTCTCTTCATGGGGTTTTCCTCCTCTCTCTCTCTCCCTCTCTCTCCTGGTCCTGACTGCTTCAGAGCTCTGAGAACAGCCACAAGACAAAACAACTGGACAGAGAGGAAGAGCAGGAACTGAATAAAGTAGAAGTATATGTAAATATAAAAATTAACTTGGCTTGTTGTAAACATGCAGACCAAACAGGAGCCAAGAATAATTATCCAGGCCGCAGTGCAGCAGATCACTCTATATCTGAGAGGTTTGTACTTCAGAAAGGTTACAGGATGAACCACTGCCAGGTAACGCTCAACACACATCAGACACTGAAACAGAGGACGACCAGTGATGAATAGTCCTATTAAAAAACATGCTAATATTGTGGGACGTGAAAGCCCAGTAAAAAAAGAAATTACAACCAACAAAGAGTACAGACAGATACCAATTTCACAAACAGAGAGTTTGAGGAGGAAAAACTCTGATGCAACTCCATTTCCTGTTCCTGTGATGATGAGCCATATAACATAGGAGTGTGTAGGAAAACCAAACAAGACATTGATTAAGTACACACAAACGTCCAGCCTAGATATTGCTGATGCTTCAGTTGTGAAGTTCACTGTAGAATTATTCATCATCTTCTTGTTTATCTCTCAGTCCAAAAGCTCACAAAAATGTTAAAGACCCCCTGTGGTGGAAATCAAGTTTTAAATGTTATTTATATGTATATGTGCTGTTTTGAATATGTTTTAAGACAAACCATGTGCAAATTCATAAGTCAACACCATTGTTTAGTAACCAACGCCAACACATTCTGCATATTTACATGAAACTGTCAGTCTATGTTATGTTATTATGTTAAAAAAAATATACTTGGGCTACAAGCCAATCGTTTACAACACAGATGTCGCTAATAACTGCTATCTCGAATGACAGCATTAGCTTAGCTCATCGGCTCGTTAACATAAAAAAACTTGGTTAGCTTAGCTATTAATAGTTTACCTCAGTAACATGTTAAGATTATTATCCATATGTATAACTAAACAAATTAAGTTTGCAAACGTTATCCAAAATCCTGTTAACATTCAGAGTGCGAGCAGATGAACATTACCAATAACCTGATATTAAGTATCCAGTGGTAGCCTACCTTCAGAAAGTTTAATCTTTTCCCTTAAGTAAAATCTCCTAAATTTTGGAGGAAAAACTTCAATTGGACAAGCCTATCAGTGACCTCTCTCTTTCTTTCTCTCTCTCTCTCTCTCTCTGTGCGTCAATTATGTCATGTTTGTTTGTTTTTTTGATCAATTGATTAGATGACAAAACACAATGTAAATATTAAGAATTTCCATTCAAATTTACTTAGGCTATTAGGGCTATGTATTTCATCACAATCATTACATAGAAACGACAAGTAACACACTGAATTAAAAGACATTTAAAGTAGAAAGACTGAAATAGTATTTTCTTGTAAAACATACTAATGCATTCTTTGTTTTATTTACAACTTTTTAAAAAATGACATTGCCTGCTTGGGATAAAATACAGGAAAAAAATTACATAAAACACAAATAAATGAATAATAATTCAAATCAATATTTCAAACACATTTTTTGCATTTATTTGGTAAGTATATTCATGCAAAATTTACCTGGATTTATATATTTAGCTGATTTAGGAAGATATGCTAATATAACAAATATTTGCATACTGTCCTGGAAAATTATTTTGTTTTGCTTTAATATTGATGATCAGTTGGATAGTAAAATGGTACTGTCCAACTGAAATGTACTGCAAAAAAAAAAAAAAAAAAAAAAAAAAAAAAAAAAAATCAAGTTAAAGAGAACTTTATCACCTGAAGAGTGAATGTCCAACCACTTACACTTAGGGGCTTCCTTTGTGGAATCAGAATTTGACATCAGCTCTTACACCAATTCAAAATAATCCAGATTTTCCTCCTGGTACTGGTGACTCTGGGTTTAACCTCTGGAATTCTTTGGATATTGTGAGGCTAAAAGATATATTAGATGTATTTTTCTATATGTAGCTGCTGTTGTGCGTTTCTAGATCCTTTCTGCATTTCCTCAATGTTATAAAATTTTAGAGCACTAAAAGGCTAGAGTAGGCGCCCTCATGGAGAATGGGGCGGGGGCGCCGTGAGCGCTGATCGAGCAGGTACGAGTAGTGAGTTGTCGTCGAAAAAGATGCATGAAACAAAATGCTGGGGGGCTAAAAATAGAAAAAGAAAGAGGGAAAAGGAGATGGCATGTCAATTGATGTGACAGCAGCTAAATAAGTCAATGGTGAAAGCCAACAGGTAGGATTTAAAGTGTGACATCCAGGCATCTATCTGGCCATCGGGACTACCGGGAGATTCCCGGTGGGCCGACGTGCTTTTTCGGCCGATACATCTCATACTTTTTTCTTTTTTTTTTTTGGTCTTAACGGCCCATAAAACTCGTACATCAGCGGCCCTTTTTTTTTTTTTTTGCTTAGTTGGCGGCGCTTGGTTAGTGCCGGTGTAATGCATTGGTCAAAAAAAAAAAGTTTTTTTTTCTGACACACCTGAAACATGTCATCATGTGGTAATCTCTTTCAAGTCTATATAAATTAGTACAAAACTAATTATTGCCAGGATACAGGGACGGAGACAGAGGTAGTGAATCCAAACAATGTTTTATTTAAATGATATAAGTGCAAAGGTAAGTAAGCAGTTCAGAAGTGGATTCGGTGCAGATTACTGAATGCGGGGAAGATCACAGGTGAGCAGATCCTCTTCAGGTTAGTTTCTGTCACACAATCTCAGTTCGGTAATACTTGTCTTTTCTCTTTTCAGATGCGATCACTATTAAGTGAGACTCAGGAGGAATTCAGGATACTCAAAGGAATACTGGATCTCAGGACACTTGGATTCAGGCAAGGATTCTGGAGACATCAGAACAAGGATACAGAGGTTAGTATTTCACAGGTAAGTATACGTTACTTTGCGGGTACTGGATGCATCAGAGACTTGAGAGTGACAAGGGTAATGGTCTGTTCTTGTTGGAGACTTGACAAAGACTGATTGTGAGATGAGTGTATTTATAGAGCTGACTGATGATTGTTAACAGGTGCAGGTGATTAGTATTCCGGTGAGAGTGAACGCTGAGTGGTGGATTGAGCTGAGCTTGATTGATTCCTGACAATTATGAAAGTTTCCTTTATTTTTCAGTGCATTTGTTTTAGGCTATATAGCTATTACTATCATGGGATTAATATTATAACTATTATTATGTAGTAGTGTAGTGTAGACAGATACTGTAACTAAAAGAGGTTTGAATTTTTCTTTAATTTGCTCCCTGAATATGGGTTGGAGCTTTTAATTTTGAACTCTCAAAGTGCACCAGACTGATGAATTTAACATTAAAGAACACAACATTTTCTTACGGGGGGCATGCCGCCGAACCCCCCTCTGAGGGACAGAGGTCCACCTACCACAGGTTTACCTAAAATCCTGTGAGAAACACTGGTATTTCTGTTCTAATTGAGCTTACAGTATATATATATTTTTTAGGGGGGTTCATCACTGTGGAGTCTATAGTTCAATTGTATTAATAAATTACAATTTTGTACTTATTTTATCTGTTAGCTCTCACTCGTTCCTACTCACTCATTACATGGCACACTTATCTATATGTTTTTTGTTTTTATTTTATTTATTTTTTTGCAAAAAATTGTTGCTGCATACCCCTCTGACACTGGGTAGTTGCACCCCTGGTCTTTTGAACAGTTAAATTGAATCTGCCAAGATATCATTTGTTCAGGTACTTGCAGCTAAGAGACTTTATTGGCAAAATACCACTTTGTATACTGATAATTCTAGGACTGAAATTGAGAAAATACTACTAGAAGACACGAAAAAAAAACAAAAAAAAAAACAACTCATATTTATGTTACATTGAGTTTGACTCTCCCAGGAGACACAGAAGATCTTAGACAGATGTGGGAAAATGATTTTGTAATCCACATTTGAGATTAATATCTCCAGAGAGGATTAGGATTTAGTCTGGGATCATGTTAAAAGAATATCAGTGAGTGTTACGGCCTTGGCCTGTTTATGGTCGCTCTCCTGCCCATCCTCCTCTCTTTCAGGCCCAATTGCTGGCACCTGGAAGCTGATGTTTAAATAGGAACTCCTCAGCTGCATTGCTTCTCTTACTGCTCTGGTCTGGGGGATAAAGGCTTGAACGCTGCTCTGTTGGCCTGTCAGGGTCCACGCCTCGCCCGGGACGCCAGGACTTCACACAGATGCACATTTTAGTTTATTTAAGTTTATGTATTTTATTTTTACACTCAACACTTGCACCCACACACACACAACATATCTATACACGCCCTACACTACTGATACTGACACTCACACTCCATTGTTGGTTCTGTTGTTTAAATTTGTGTTAGGTACACAATAAACTTATGATTTGCACTGTTTGCTCGTGGCATGGTCTCCTATCTTTAGTTATGGCCCTGAGTCTGTCATAACAGTGTTACAGAGCACGTGCTATTCAATTCAAAATAATACTTTGGCTACATATCACACCTTATATAAGATATAAAATGGACCCAAAACTTTCCCCCAACTGCTCAAAATGCAAAATATCAGTTGGTAATTATATTCACTGTATCTGGACTTGTCACAGAATTTCAGTTGATTTGGAAGAAAATTGCAGACCACATTGGCAATATTATTGGAATGATAATTGATGTTGATCCTTGTTCATTTATTCTAGGTCTGCCTATCGTGGGTGCGAAGTCGCGGGGGTACGCGGAGAGTTCTTTGTACTCGAGAGCTATCTCGCGCCTGGTTTGGCATCTTCAATAAGGCTGGTGCTGCACTGCACACTGGCAGTGTTACAGGCATACCAGACTGACCTGTTGAAGGATTTGAGTGTGGGCAGTACGATTGATGAGGAAGCGTTCTCTGAGCTTCGTCGAGCCACAGATCTGTCTCTCCGTGCGACTAAGCAAATGGCCCGTGCCATCGGCCGTTCAATATCGGCTTTGGTCAGCACGGAGAGGCACCTGTGGTTTAATCTGACAGGAATTAAAGAGAAAGGAGAAGGAAGAGAAAGATTGTGTGTTTCTGTTAGATCCCCGTGTTTCACCATCTGGCCTGTTTGGCGACTTCGTTAATACTGTCGTCACTAAGTTCAGAGAGGTTAAGAAGCACGAGGAAGCATTCGTTCAGTTCCTTCCTCGCTGCACTCAAGGGGAGGGGCCATCGGCCACCCAACCTCTCCCCGGTCCTTCAAAAGCCAGGGAGGTGAAAAAGCAGAGCGTGGCGAGCTGCGCTCCCCCTCGTAAGGACAGGCTCATCGCGCCCAGCAACCTCCCAAGCCAGACCTCAGGACTATTATTAATAGAAAGAGGAAATCCTGATGGTCTGGTGCCCAGTCTGGTGGGGGTAGCCCTTCGCGGGACGGGGCGCATACAAAATCTGACCGCCCCTCCACATTACCCATACGAAACCTCTCCATCCCCGCTGCCTCTGGTGCTTCGGGGGGCAGCGGTTTCCAGCGAAATGTTAGAACCGTTGTTTCCTGCTGTCATCCAGGACACCGAACATCTAACATCCCCTCAAAAGGAAGTGTTAAAATTGATA